TGAGTTGAACGGCTATGCCGAACGGAGTCAACGGCATAACCATCCAAGTTGAATGGTTATGCCGAAGGCAGTCAACGGAATAACCATCCAAGTTGAATGGTTATGCCGACGACAGTCAACGGCATAACCATACAAGTTGAATGGTTATGCCGAAGACAGTCAACGGCATAACCATCCAAGTTGAATGTTTATGCCGAACATATACAACGGCATAAACATCAAAATTGAATGTTTATGATGAACATATACAACGTCATAAACATCTAAGTTGAATGTTTATGCCGAACATATACAACGGCATAAACATCAAAATTGAATGTTTATGCCGAACATATACAACGGCATAAACATCTAAGTTGAATGTTTATGCCGAACATATACAACGGCATAAACATGTAAATTGAATGTTTATGCCGAACATATACAACGGCATAAACATCTAAATTGAATGTTTATGCCGAACATATACAACAGCATAAACATCTAAGTTGAATGTTTATGCCGAACATATACAACGGCATAAACATCTAAGTTGAATGTTTATGCCGAATATATACAACGGCATAAACATCTAAGTTGAATGTTTATGCCGAACATATACAACGGCATAAACATCTAAGTTGAATGTTTATGCCGAACATATACAACGGCATAAACATCTAAGTTGAATGTTTATGCCGAACATATACAACGGCATAAACATCTAAATTGAATGTTTATGCCGAACATATACAACGGCATAAACATCTCAGTTGAATGTTTATGCCGAACATATACAACGGCATAAACATCTAAATTGAATGTTTATGCCGAACATATACAACGGCATAAACATCTCAGTTGAATGTTTATGCCCAACATATACAACGGCATAAACATCTAAGTTAAATGTTTATGCCGAACATATACAACGGCATAAACATCTAAGTTGAATGTTTATGCCGAACATATACAACGGCATAAATATCTAAATTGAATGTTTATGCCGAACATATACAACGGCATAAACATTTCAGTTGAATGTTTATGCCGAACATATACAACGGCATAAACATCTAAATTGAATGTTTATGCCGAACATATACAACGGCATAAACATCTAAGTTGAATGTTTATGCCGAACATATACGACGGCATAAACATCTAAGTTGAATGTTTATACCGAACATATACAACGGCATAAACATCTAAATTGAATGTTTATGCCGAACATATACAACGGCATAAAGATCTAAGTTGAATGTTTATGCCGAACATATACAACGGCATAAACATCTAAATTGAATGTTTATGCCGAACATATACAACAGCATAAACATCTAAATTCAATGTTTATGCCGAACATATACAACGGCATAAACATCCAAGTTGAATGTTTATGCCGAACATATACAACGGCATAAACATCTAAATTGAATGTTTATGCCGAACATGTACAACGGCATAAACATCCAAGTTCAATGTTTATGCCGAACATATACAACGGCATAAAAATCCAAGTTGAATGTTTATGCCGAACATATACAACGGCATAAACATCCAAGTTGAATATATATTGATTGAGATCACTAGTTCAGATCAATGCGGTATATTCGTGAACATGTGGTACAGTCGTAGAAATGTCACAGACGTCAAATGCATAATACCGAAACTTTCCGCATCAGTATGCATTTTGAATCTTTGTAAGTCGATTTAGATCGAATTTTTTTTTTCGATTTGCCCGAAATTTTCTAAGTCTGTCTCTGGTTTATAAAGGCAGCACTTGTCTTGCGATAGGAACTTCTAGTTTATAGTTGATTCGATCAAGAATCCGGGTAGCGGGTTAGCGTAGTACAAAGTATAATAAAGGACGGGTTAGCATTTCTTATATCAAAATGCGCTTTGTAATTCCCCTGTGCCAAAAATTTCTGCACCAATAGGCAGTTCTGAACCATCCTAAGTCGATTTATATAAAAAAATGTTTGTAAGTCAAACTTTGGTGGAAATTTTCCAAATTAAACTCAGCCTAGTTGACTCAAGAATGCGGGTGGCGGGTTAGCATATTACAAAGTATAATGAAGGACGGGTTAGCATTTCTTATATCAAATTGCGCTTTAAAATTCCCCTATGCCGAAACTTTCCGCATCAATATGCATTTTGAATTTTTGTAAGTTGATTTAGATCGAAAATTGTTTTTCCCTTTGCCCGAAATTTCCTAAGTCTGACTCTGGTTTATAAAGGCAGCACTTGTCTTGCGATAGGAACTTCTAGTTTATAGTTGATTCGATCAAGAATCCGGGTAGCGGGTTAGCGTAGTACAAAGTATAATAAAGGACGGGTTAGCATTTCTTATATCAAAATGGGCTTTGAAATTCCCCTGTGCCAAAAATTTCTGCACCAATAGGCAGTTCTGAACCATCCTAAGCCGATTTATATAAAAAAAGGTTTGTAAGTCAAACTTTGGTATAAATTTTCCAAATGAAACTCAGCCTAGTTGACTCAAGAATGCGGGTGGCGGGTTAGCATATTACAAAGTATAATGAAGGACGGGTTAGCATTTCTTATATCAAATTGCGTATTAAAATTCCCCTATACCGAAACTTTCCTAATCAATATGCATTGTGAATCTTTGTAAGTCGATTTAGATCGAAAATTTTTTTTCGATTTGCCCGAAATTTTCTAAGTCTGACTTTGGTTTATGAGCAGGTCACAACAATGTACTTTTGTTTTCAATTTTGCAAGAATTTCAGGTCGTCTACTGATGGCTTAGTGGTAGGTCGTTTGGCCTGTCTCGATAAACATTTGAGTTCGAATCCAGTTGAACTCGTGTTTTGTAGCGGACTCACAATATTTTTTCCTTTATTTATTCTGGCTATTTTTTATTGGTTTTGTACCTCTATGTGCAAAATCCGTTTACAAGTATTAGAAAATATTGCCATTTTGAACCTTGCCCGAAGAATTAACCTAATCATTCGACATTGTTTAATTTCACAAAACTTTAGTTTATAGTTGATTCGATCAAGAAGCGGGGGAACGGTTAAGCGTAGTAGAAAGGATATTAAAACACGGCTAAGCATTTCTTCTATCAAAATGCGCTTTAAAATTCCCCTATAGCCAAACTTTCCGCATCAATATTCATTTTGAATCTTTGTAAGTCGATTTAGATCGAAACATTTTTTTCGATTTGCCCGAAATTTTCTAAGTCTGACTCTGGTTAATAAAGGCAGCACTTGTCTTGCGATAGGAACTTCTAGTTTTTGGTTGATTCGATCAAGAATCCGGGTAGCGGGTTAGCGTAGTACAAAGTATAATAAAGGACGGGTTAGCATTTCTTATATCAAAATGCGCTTTGAAATTCCCCTGTGCCAAAACTTTCTGCACCAATAGCCAGTTCTGAACCATCCTAAGTCGATTTATATCAAAAAATGTTTGTAAGTCAAACTTTGGTGGAAATTTTCCAAATGTAACTCAGCCTAGTTGACTCAAGAATGCGGGTGGCGGGTTAGCATATTACAAAGTATAATGAAGGACGGGTTAGCATTTCTTATTTCAAATCGCGCTTTAAAATTCCCCTACACCGAAACTTTCCGCATCAATATGCATTGTGAATCTTTGTAAGTCGGCTTAGATCGAAATTTTTTTCGATTTGCCCGAAATTTTCTAAGTCTGACTCTGGTTTATAAAGGCAGCACTTGTCTTGCGATAGGAACTTCTAGGCTGCTAACTATTTTAAGACGAATTAAAGCCCGGTGAATTTCGGTGAAATGAGCCGGTGCCTTGTGTCAAATTCGATCCGGACTGATTCTCCATTTAAAATATGCGTAATGAACAAAAGATTAAGACCACTTAGTTCAGTTGTGGTTAGTTTGCAACTCCGACCTCTTGGTCTAGTGGTAATAACTACAGGTTTCGCCCTGGACAAATTTTTTCTTATATCATTGAGCGATATTTGAAATTACGTTTTTATCTTTTTTTTCTAAAATATTCACCCAGGACGAAAGCCAACGGTAGATTCCTACTTATTCTTCCCTAATGAACATATTTAAACTATTTTAAGACGAATTAAAGCCCGGTGAATTTCGGTGAAATGAGCCGGTGCCTTGTGTCAAATTCGATCCGGACTGACTCTCCATTTAAAATATGCGTAATGAACAAGAGATTAAGACCACTTAGTTCAGATGTGGTTAGTTTGCAACTCCGAGCTCTTGGTCTAGTGGTATTAACTACAGGTTTCGCCCTGGACAAATTTTTTCTTATGTCATTGAGCCATATTTGAAATTACGTTTTTATCTTTTTTTTTCTAAAATATTCACCCAGGACGAAAGCCAACGGTAGATTCCTACTTATTCTTCCCTAATGAACATATTTAAACTATTTTAAGACGAATTAAAGCCCGGTGAATTTCGCTGAATTGAGCCAGTGAATGCCTTGTGTCAAATTCGATCCGGACTGATTCTCCATTTAAAATATGCGTATGAACAAAAGATTAAGACCACTTAGTTCAGTTGTGGTTAGTTTGCAACTCCGAGCTCTTGGTCTAGTGGTAATAACTACAGGGTTCGCCCTGGACAAATTTTTTCTTATATCATTGAGCGATATTTGAAATTACGTTTTTATCTTTTTTTTCTAAAATATTCACCCAGGACGAAAGCCAACGGTAGATTCCTACTTATTCTTCCCTAATGAACATATTTAAACTATTTTAAGACGAATTAAAGCCCGGTGAATTTCGGTGAAATGAGCCGGTGCCTTGTGTCAAATTCGATCCGGACTGATTCTCCATTTAAAATATGCGTAATGAACAAAAGATTAAGACCACTTAGTTCAGTTGTGGTTTTTTGCAAC